TGTGTGTGTGTATGTGTGTGTGTGGAGCTACAGCTGCATCTTATTCCACAAAACCGCAGGTGAACGAATCTGAGGTTATGCTCGCAGTGAGACGGGAAAACAAGCAATTACAGCAGCCTTCCAATAGAATTAAAGACGCTCTGTTCTCACGAGGAGCTTCCAGTGCATTACAATCGAGCTGAGGCTGAGCCGCCCTTACTGGACCAGTCAGGGTCTTGTTATGCAATATGGGAAATACAAATGTAATAGAAATTATTCCAGCCAAACAACACAGCCTGGCTTTGTTCGGTGTGAGATAAAGGGCTAATTCACACAAAAAATTAAGGTTTTGTCATAATTTAATCACCCTCATGTTATTCCCAACCCGTATGACTTTATTTCTTCCAAGGAACACAAAAGAAATGTCGTTTCTATCCGCTGAAAATAAATGTGGACAAGCACGGTCAAGCTCCCAAAAGGTTATTATTGTTAACTAAACTATTACAAACATTTTAATGATTGAAATAAATCTGAAACAAATGATAAATATTAGATGAAAAACTAATAAATAAAAATATAAAAAAATAATAAAAAGTAAAGATAAAATAAATAAAATAAAAAATAAAGAAAAGGTAATAAACTAATAAATTAATTAATTAATAGAGATGTTGTCTTGGCAACTTACGGAAATAAGTTTAATTTGAAGCAGTAAAATTACTAACTGAACAAAAAGTAAAACTGAAATAAAAATAAATTAAACGTAAATAGCAATATTTAAGAAAAATTGCACAATATAAAATTACAAAAAAAATTAACTAAAATCATGCTTTTATAATAGCAATATTGATTTGCTGCTCAAGAAACATTTCTGAATATTATCAATGTTGAAAACAGTCATGCTGCCCAATATTTTTCTGGATTTTTTCCAGGAGTCTTTGATGAGTAGAAAATTCACAACAACAGCATTTATTTTAAATAGATTTTTTTGTAACATTTAAAAAGTATTTACTGTCACACAATAAGTTTAATGCATCCTTGCTGAATAAAAGTGTTAATTTCTTTAAAAATGAATCTTCTAGCTCTCATATGGCTTTGGAATAAGTTGGGAATAGATGTCATTTGTAGAAGCCAGCAGCCCCATTCACTTTCACTGTATGGAAAAGAGCAGCCTAGACATTCTGCTAAACATCTTCTTTTGTGTTCCACGAGCGACAGGGTTTGTAGTGATATGAATGAATGTAAACAATGCTGGCATTTTTTTATTTTCACGTGACCTATCCCTTTAAGCTCGGGTTTTCTTGTGTTACGTCACACATTCTCTTCTAGAAACCTCTAATTAGGACGTTCACATGTCTTCAGTGTCTCCCACAACACAAGACCTCTACAACATTACATAATCTACAATCTGCACTCCTCCGGCTCCATTCACACCTCCTCATCTCTGAGTTTTCTGAGTGTTCGGTTTCTCTGTGCGGATGAGGATCTGGGGTTTGAGATGCTTTGATCTCCTCTGGCGCTGGAGCTCAGCCAATCAGCAGCCAGCATTCTCTCTCTCGCTCCAGTCCTTTACCTGCCATTATTCTCACACTGTTTTCTTTCATCCCCCTCTCCTTCCTCTTATTCATTCCTCGTTACATCATTTGGGTTGATAGTGAGTATTTCTCGCTCTCTCTTTTTCACTGAGATCATCACTTACCTCAGTACGTTATTTATATCGCTGCCCTTTCATCTTTCTTTTTTAGACTTTCATTTTTTTTTCCTACACATCTCTCGTTCGGACGAGATTTGTTTTCTAAGCGATGTTTGAGTTGCAATGATTAAGCGACGACTACTGATACAAATGATCTCTGTACACTGCAAAAATTATATTCTTAGTATTTTTGTCCTGTTTTTCTGTACAAATATCTAATCAAAACACATTTTCTCTAGAAGCAAAATGACTTGAAGGAACAGTTCATCCACAAGTGAAAAACTGCTGAAAACTGACTCACCCTCAGGCCATGCATGATCAGAGTGAGTTTGTTTCTTCATCAGGTTTGTAGAAATGTAGCATTGCATCAGTGTCTCAGCAATGGATGCTCTAAGAAAGAGATGGCTCTTTGACTGAATGGTTCTTCTATAACATCGCTGTGAAGAACCTTTTAAGCACCGCTATTTTTGAGAGTGTGGGCTACTAAAATAAACAAAAACAATAGACTAGACCTATTAGTAATAAATACCACATTAATAATAAATATTAAATAAATGGTTAAAATGCAATCTATAACGCTGTTTTAGCTGTTAAGAAAACACAGCAAGAAAATAGATATTCATGTATTAATAATAAATACCAAAACTATACCAAAACATAAATATGGATCACCTTTATGTTATTTTATTTTATTATTTTATTATTTTTTTTAGCTCTACAACTTTAGTCTTCATTCAGTTGAATATATATAGAAAGAGCAGCCATAATAATCTTTTGTGTTACACAGAACAAAGTCTTACGGGTGTAACAAAGGTCCTGGCGATGAACAAATAATGACAGAATTGTCATTTGTGTGTTAACTTAAATTCTGTAGCTATTCATCACAGAAACATTCCTCTTTAGATGACAGTATATTATCCAGGCCGACCTGCACAGCTTGCCTCAGTCAGGTTTGCAATACGATTAATGTTCAGAGCAGCTGCATCACTCCTGATCACAAGCGTGAATACCAGCCATTTTCTCCATTAAGAAATAATCTTTAATATCACTTGCCCTTCCGAGAGCCACTTTCTTTTGAGATAACCATAACTCATTGCTCTCTCACTCTCTCTCTCCTAAAAACGCTTCTTCTCATAAATACAACAATGCTGATTACTTGGACAATAACACAATCAGCCAGCAATGAAGAGGCACGGCGTTATATAAGAAACATATCAACATCATCGGACAGATTTAGCTTTTACTTCAGGGAGCGAGTGCTACTCCATCATTACCGCCGCTATTAGACGCCTCTTATCTCCTGTTAGCGCAGAGCTGAAACATGCGGTCTGTGACCCGGCTGATTCAGTTTGATGGCTCTGAGCGGCTGCAGACGGATGAGATAGTTCTGACCCGACTGAAGCATTAACCTGGACACCAGGGCCAGCCGTCATTCAGAACCAATCAAGAACACCTTTCAAACTCCTTCTGAACTGAGTTTAAATGTGAGGAAGCTGACTTAAAATAGATGACATTTAAAGAAACATTTAATTTTTCAGTATAAATTACCAATGAACATGTGATCATATAACATATTATAACATAACCTATTAAAAAAATATATATATATATATTTTTTATAAATTAAATAATAAATTATTATACATTTTATAAATTATAAATTATAATATATGATGGACGGACGGACGGCTGGACGGATGGATGGATCGACGGATGGATGGATGGATGAATGGATGGATGGACGGATGGATAGACGGATGGACGGACGGATGGATGAACGAATGGATGGATGGACGGATGGATAGACGGATGGACGGACGGATGGATGAACGAATGGATGGATGGACGGATGGATAGACGGATGGACGGACGGATGGATGAACGAATGGATGGATGGACGGATGGATAGACGGATGGACGGACGGATGGATGAACGAATGGATGGATGGACGGATGGATAGACGGATGGACGGACGGATGGATGAACGAATGGATGGATGGACGGATGGATAGACGGATGGACGGACGGATGGATGAACGAATGGATGGATGGACGGATGGATAGACGGATGGACGGACGGATGGATGAACGAATGGATGGATGGACGGATGGATAGACGGATGGACGGACGGATGGATGAACGAATGGATGGATGGACGGATGGATAGACGGATGGACGGACGGATGGATGAACGAATGGATGGATGGACGGATGGATAGACGGATGGACGGACGGATGGATGAACGAATGGATGGATGGACGGATGGATAGACGGATGGACGGACGGATGGATGAACGAATGGATGGATGGACGGATGGATAGACGGATGGACGGACGGATGGATGAACGAATGGATGGATGGACGGATGGATAGACGGATGGACGGACGGATGGATGAACGAATGGATGGATGGACGGATGGATAGACGGATGGACGGACGGATGGATGAACGAATGGATGGATGGACGGATGGATAGACGGATGGACGGACGGATGGATGAACGAATGGATGGATGGACGGATGGATAGACGGATGGACGGACGGATGGATGAACGAATGGATGGATGGACGGATGGATAGACGGATGGACGGACGGATGGATGAACGAATGGATGGATGGACGGATGGATAGACGGATGGACGGACGGATGGATGAACGAATGGATGGATGGACGGATGGATAGACGGATGGACGGACGGATGGATGAACGAATGGATGGATGGACGGATGGATAGACGGATGGACGGACGGATGGATGAACGAATGGATGGATGGACGGATGGATAGACGGATGGACGGACGGATGGATGAACGAATGGATGGATGGACGGATGGATAGACGGATGGACGGACGGATGGATGAACGAATGGATGGATGGACGGATGGATAGACGGATGGACGGACGGATGGATGAACGAATGGATGGATGGACGGATGGATAGACGGATGGACGGACGGATGGATGAACGAATGGATGGATGGACGGATGGATAGACGGATGGACGGACGGATGGATGAACGAATGGATGGATGGACGGATGGATAGACGGATGGACGGACGGATGGATGAACGAATGGATGGATGGACGGATGGATAGACGGATGGACGGACGGATGGATGAACGAATGGATGGATGGACGGATGGATAGACGGATGGACGGACGGATGGATGAACGAATGGATGGATGGACGGATGGATAGACGGATGGACGGACGGATGGATGAACGAATGGATGGATGGACGGATGGATAGACGGATGGACGGACGGATGGATGAACGAATGGATGGATGGACGGATGGATAGACGGATGGACGGACGGATGGATGAACGAATGGATGGATGGACGGATGGATAGACGGATGGACGGACGGATGGATGAACGAATGGATGGATGGACGGATGGATAGACGGATGGACGGACGGATGGATGAACGAATGGATGGATGGACGGATGGATAGACGGATGGACGGACGGATGGATGAACGAATGGATGGATGGACGGATGGATAGACGGATGGACGGACGGATGGATGAACGAATGGATGGATGGACGGATGGATAGACGGATGGACGGACGGATGGATGAACGAATGGATGGATGGACGGATGGATAGACGGATGGACGGACGGATGGATGAACGAATGGATGGATGGACGGATGGATAGACGGATGGACGGACGGATGGATGAACGAATGGATGGATGGACGGATGGATAGACGGATGGACGGACGGATGGATGAACGAATGGATGGATGGACGGATGGATAGACGGATGGACGGACGGATGGATGAACGAATGGATGGATGGACGGATGGATAGACGGATGGACGGACGGATGGATGAACGAATGGATGGATGGACGGATGGATAGACGGATGGACGGACGGATGGATGAACGAATGGATGGATGGACGGATGGATAGACGGATGGACGGACGGATGGATGAACGAATGGATGGATGGACGGATGGATAGACGGATGGACGGACGGATGGATGAACGAATGGATGGATGGACGGATGGATAGACGGATGGACGGACGGATGGATGAACGAATGGATGGATGGACGGATGGATAGACGGATGGACGGACGGATGGATGAACGAATGGATGGATGGACGGATGGATAGACGGATGGACGGACGGATGGATGAACGAATGGATGGATGGACGGATGGATAGACGGATGGACGGACGGATGGATGAACGAATGGATGGATGGACGGATGGATAGACGGATGGACGGACGGATGGATGAACGAATGGATGGATGGACGGATGGATAGACGGATGGACGGACGGATGGATGAACGAATGGATGGATGGACGGATGGATAGACGGATGGACGGACGGATGGATGAACGAATGGATGGATGGACGGATGGATGGATGGATGGATGGATGGACGGACGGATGGATGGAAGGATGGACGGATGGATGAACAGATGGATGGATGGACGGACGGACGGACGGACGGACGGATGGATGGATGGATGGACGGATAGATAGATAGATAGATAGATAGATAGATAGATATTAGAAGATAGAATTAAATTAAATTAATATTATCATTATTATATATTCCAATATGAATACTAAAACATTAAAAGTCAATTATAAATAAATGTTAAATATTCATAAAGTTAGTAATAGAAATTGAATGAAATTTGATCAATTGTATATATTTCATAACCTTTAATAAATTAACTCTCATTCTATGAACCAAGCAAACTTGCAAGAGGAAAACGTTGACAGCTGTTCTAGTGTATTTTGTTGTTGTGTGACTTGAATTTCATTTCATTGCAATTCCAATTCAGCATCCTGTGGTTTGTGGTCAATTCAATTCAAATTCCAAAAGTCATGAACTGTAACAGAGCCGAATCCCGATTCTCATATTCTGAATGTCAGCCAGCCCTGTACGACACGTTTGAGTAATCTACATGAGTGAGTTTGGGCTGTGCGCAGGAAGCTGTTCCCTAAGCAGCGGGATTGTTCTGTGCATCGAGCGGCACAACAGGAAATCACATGACCGTTGATCAAGAGAACCTCACCTGGGGGAGGCGGGGCTTCACTCACCTGCCACTGAGTTGGGGCGGGGCATGATGTAGAGGGGGGCGGAGTGAGTGGAGCAGTGGGCGGAGCCGGGCTCGGGGATCTTGTTGAGGCTGTAGGTGGAGGCGGTCATGTTCTCATCCACGCGGTACAGACTGGAGTCCAGAGTGGATCTGTGCGAGTGCCAGAGTTTCAGGCTGCTGCCTCGAGAGCCATCCCCGTGCTTCCCTCTCCTGTCCATCGGCTCCGAGTAACTGGTCAGGGTGGCTGGGAAAAGAGGAGACAAGCTGTCAAGATCAGGTCAGAAAGTTCTGCTAGAACGGATCAGTTCCCCAGAGGACTGTGAGTAGGGTTACCGTATGAAAAGTGATTGCACCAATTAAGCTCCTGCAGAAGCGCTCAGCTTTACGAGCATCGTTTGGCTTGATTTTCAGCGCATGGTCTTTAGATATGCTTTAGAGCCTAAAAAATATCTTGCAGCCCTGATGAGCAGAAGAGACTTCTTTTAGAAACCCCAGCTCACAGGTAAGCCCAGGGCAGGGACTCACCGATGATGCCGCTGTCTCTGCTCTCCAGGGTGGAGGTGGGGCTGCTGAAGGCCTGTCCCGGAGCAGCAGGAGGAAGGGTGGAGCAGGGGCTGCAGGCGGGGGGCGAGGCGGTGCTGCTGGTCAGAGTGGAGCACGGACTCATCCTCCCGCTCACTCCTAAACCCTGCACACACACCTGTACTCTCAGTGCGGCTCATCAGTTCATCTCTGTCCTGCCCATCATTACCATCAAACATCACGACAGACAAAACACTCACAAGCACTTAAGATCAGAGTGACAGTCCACACACACACACACACACACACACACACGCACATGCACACGCACACGCACTCTCTCTCACACACACAATCATGTTTGTTTCTGTGAATTGTGGGGCTTTCCATAGACTTCTACTTACCTAACCCTTTTTTCTGACCAAACAATATTTTCTATCCCCTAACCCTAAACCTACTCCTTTACTGACACAGTAACTAGGGTTTGAAGAATGACTGGGTATTATATTTAAGCCATTAAGTCATTTGCAGACATGCAATTGTCCCATAAAACAGTGACAAATGCACTTACAATTTAGAGATTATTAAGTCTGATTCAAAAATGGGCCATAGCTATTGATAAAAATCTGTAATATTATATTATTATTATAGTACAAACAGTACTGTTTTACAGCGTGTTTAGGAATAATAAGAATCACAGAAACACTAAAAAGTAAAACATCTGGAAATGACAAAATGTGTTTAATTGTCATGAAAATAACATCACAATAAATTAAATCTTCAAAAAAAAAATGTCACTTTTCTTAATATGTTGTCATTTCTAATATTTCAGGGTGAAACAGGTGAGATTGGGCCTTTCTGAGCATCTTCTGCATCTTAAGGAGGTGTGTATTTACTGCAGGAGGTGAGGATGAATAACTGACCTGTGAGTCATCAGGCTCATCCATGCTGTACTGCGGCCCTTGAGACCCCTCGCTCACTTTTTCTCCGAGTAGGAAGCCGAGACGAGTCATCAATGTGTTCGCTGCCTCGTCCAGTGAGGGGGGGGGGCCGAGATCCAGACCTAACCCCCGTAAAGAGAGAGAGAGACAGAGAGAATGAAATTAAGTCAAGTATGAAGTGAAACTAGCTAACTAGCTCACCACAATTGAAAAAGTTAATTATGAGCCTCACATCTTCCGCTGCTCGTGTCAACTATATCATAATTATGGACTCCACATGAAAATGCAATAATTCAGTAAGTGATTTCCCACAGATCTTAAATGACAGCTCACCCTCAGAGTCCATCAATCTCTCTCTGTGTTCTCTCTGTGTAAAATCAGCCTGCGCTCTTTCTGCAGAGCTGCTGCGTGACGACATACAGAGACGAGACCGACAGACACAGACTACATCAACCGGCTCACACCGCGCTATATCACCAGCTCACAGACAGACGGAGAGATAGAAAAGCTACGATTGTCAAGAAGACACACCGATAAAACTGCTGAAAGAGGGACGAGTTTCATTCTGAGGTGATTTCAGCATTACTGTCAGAGAAAAACAACAGAATGAACAAACGATAGAAGGAATAAACGATAAACACTGAAGCATATACTGTACTCTACTTCCTATAATCAGATATTTAATAGCAATAGTACCGTATTTTTTTATATTACTGAATATCAGCATATTGAGAGCAGCTAAAAAAGCATCACAAACTATAGAAGACTATAGAACGATATAGACGGATGGACGGATAGATAGACAGACAGACAGACAGACAGACAGACAGATAGATAGATAGATAGATGATAAGTTTAGTCACGCCAGCATAACGCAAACACAACGAGAGAGGAGTTTAACAATCTCATGCTCATTCACAGAAAACAGCAGAAACACTCTCACACACACACACACACACACACACACACTCACTCTCACTCACACACTCACTCTCACACACTCTCACACACACACACTCACTCACTCACACACTCAC